GGGACTCAAAGCATTATGTACATTAGTAGGTAAAATGGTCGGGAGGAGTGGGGTGTGGAGAAAAGGTTACTGGGACTCAATACAGGAACCCCCAGCACTGGGGTACCAAAACCTATTGATGAAGCCCTGAGGCAGGCTGCAGTTAGAATGAGGGAAGAGTAAAAGGTAAGGGTTGATAGGATCATGAAAGGTGGAACGCTTCAACAGACTTTAGGTAAAGAAGCTGTGTGTCCTTTACCTGAATGTTTTATGGGAATGGATATTACATCCATCTGGGGAACACTTTTTCTTTTTGAGATGGAGTCTCGCCCTGTTGCCCAGGTTGGAGTGCAGTGGCATGATCTCGGCTCACTGCAACCTCTGCCTCCCAGGTTCAAACGATTCTCCTGCCTCAGCCTCCCCAGTAGCTGGGATTACAGGTGTGCGCCACCACACCCAGCTAATTTTTGTATTTTTAGTAGAGACGGGGTTTCACCGTGTTGGCCAGGCTAATCTCAAGCTACTGACCTCAGGTGATCCGCCCACCTCAACCTCCCGAAGTGCTGGGATTACAGGCGTAAACCACCACACCTGGCCTAACACTTCTTAATACCTAGTATTGTAACACCCAAACCTGTTAATTAAGTCCTAATGGAGGCCACAGTTAGGAATGTAGTGGTTGATGGAATTAAAGTCTGTAGGCGAATTGGTGTTTTTCAGCAGGCTTCATGAGAACTGCTTGCGTGTGTCTCTTACCTGATTGTGTTATGGGAATGGATATTGTGTATACCTGGGAATGTTTCCCCTACCTAGTATTGTAAACCAGAAGGCATCACAGCGCGCAGCACTTCACTCATCAGTGTGGAGAGTGTTCTTAGAGGTCACTGGTGTGGAAGCTGAGGCTTCCTCCCCTTGCTTCCCCTGCACCACGCTGCAGAGACTGAACACCTGTTTCTTATTAGGTCACAGTTCTCTCAGCAGGTGAGGCATTAATGGCCAAGAAAAAGAAAGGATGAGAATATAATCATGAATAAGTCTAGCAAGGGAAATATTTTTAGGTGTTTTTATTTATTTATTTATTTTTTTGCTTTGGAAACTGTTAGTCCAAACTGCACCATTTTGTAAAACCCCCAGCCATTTTGCAGACCTTGGTCAAAGTGAAACATTCCACAGGGGTTCGGGCACACCTGCCCAACCGCCTGACTCTCTTATTCTATTCTGCTGGAAGGAAGTGTAAGGAACCTCACGCTACATCAGAATACCAAACTGCCTAATCACGGGAACACATTATCAATGTTTTCCCAGGCAGCAGGCCATGCCCCCTGTTCCAGACCCCTCCCGCCCAGCCTATAGTTGCCCCAGCCTGTAAGCAGTAGTGGACACTGGCATTAACCTGGTCCCCCACCTCTGCAGGTCTTATGCTGGACATAAAGCCTGCATTCGCTGTAGAGCCGCCACTCTCTCTGTGTCTTTCTTTAACCCTCGCCTTCCCTTAAAACCTAACAAAAACTATAAGACAAGTTTTCTGGCCGGGCGCGGTGGCTCAAGCCTGTAATCCCAGCACTTTGGGAGGCCGAGACAGGCGGATCACGAGGTCAGGAGATCGAGACCATCCTGGCTAACAGACGGTGAAACCCTGTCTCTACTAAAAAATACAAAAAAGTAGCCGGGCGAGGTGGCGGGCGCCTGTAGTCCCAGCTACTCGGGAGGCTGAGGCAGGAGAATAGCGTGAACCCGGGAGGCGGAGCTTGCAGTGAGCTGAGATCCAGCCACTGCACTCCAGCCTGGGCGACAGAGCGAGACTCCGTCTAAAAAAAAAAAAAGACAAGTTTTCCTCATCCTCCAGTAAGAACCTATTTTTTTGTTTGTTTTGGTTTGGTTTTGGGGTTTTTTTGTTTGTTTGTTTGAGACAAGATTTTACTTTGTTGTCCAGGCTGAAGTGAACTGGTGCAATTGTGACACTGCAGCCTCAACCTCCCCAGGCTCAGGTGATTCTCCCCGATCAAACCTCCTAAGTAGCTGGGACTGCAGGCATGTGATAACATGCCTGGGTAATTTTAGTATTTTTTGTAGAGAGAGGGTCTTGCCATGTTGCCCAGGCTGATCTTGAACTCCCGGGCTCAAGCAGTCCTCCTGTGTTGGCCTCCTAAAGTGCTGGGATTGCAGGTGTGAGCCACCACACCTGGCCTAAGAACCTGGTTTTTGGACAACTATAAAAGTGCTATTTTACATAATAGGATGTAGACACGTAATAATTCATAACGCCTGAAGGGGACACAGGCAAAAAATATAAAGGAAATTGAGAATGACTGGATATCATATCTAATGGTGCCACGTTTGTGTCTAACATCTTCGACATGGTTCTCAGCAACTCTCTGGGAATGAGCTGTTGAGCTAGATGGAGATGGGAAGAGGATAAATACGGAGATAGTTGGCTGGGTGAGGTGGTTCACGTCTGAAATCCCAGCACTTTGGGAGGCCAAGGCGGATGGATCACCTGAGGTCAGGAGTTTGAGACCAGCCTGACCAACATGGAGAAACCCCGTCTCTACAAAAAATACAAAAAGAAAATGAACTGGGCATGGTGGCACATGTCTGTAATCCCAGCTACTCGGGATGCTGAGGCAGGAGAATCGCTTGAACCCAGGAGGCAGAGGTTGTGGTGAGCTGAGATTCCACCACTGTACTCCAGCCTAGGCAACAAGAGCGAAATTCCATTTTAAAAAAAAAAAGACTTGGATAGTTGTAATATATCTAATTATTAATTCTAACAGGCTGTGGAGAAGTTTGGCCTGAAAATCATTAGGTATAATGAAGTTTGTGTATTATATCCAGATTGTTCTTATCATGTTGTTAAGTCACAGATGAAAACAAGCAATGTTTGAAGGATATTCCCAACCTCCAGATGTACCTAATCCTGGTGAAGCCGATGCTGTTAGCACCCTCCCATATCTGTGGGCCTTTTAGAATTTTCAGTTGATTTCCAACTACCAGTATGTGTACCTCTGTGCCTGCAGCCCCTTTTCCTTAGAAATATGTGTTGCCTATTTGCAAGGCAAACCAGAGTAGCAAAGAATTGATACCCCCCAAAGCCCTACGGGCACATCCCTCAACCAACAGCTCTCAGGAGTTGATGTATAAATGCCCCAGCTCCTTGTACCTTGGGCAGAATAATTCTGTGGTGTGGGTTTTGCACCGTTCCTAGCAGTAATCCTGCAAGGTTGAGCTCAAGTACCCACTGTGGTAGCTGGCTTGATGACACGTTTTACTGGCTGTCCTACTGTCCCTGTATCATCCAGCCACCTCATACCAGCGTTCCAAAATAAACTACCCACCCTGGAATCCTTGCCTCAAGTTCTGCTTCTGGGGAATCAAACTAAGACGACTGAATGTGAGGTCTCCCACGGGACATCTCTTGGCTTCCTAGTCATAAAGAGAACACTGGGGGAATACTTTCGGGGAACACGTGAGTGTACTATTTCTTGTTTTTCAAATTACCTGAAAGTGATCTCATCTAGATGTACTTTATTGTTTCGGTAGTGACACTGAAGGGGCTAGTGATTAGATAAAATTGATGCATATGAGGGAAAGCCCAAAATAAATCATTCCTGAGCAAAGTGAACATCTGAAGGGCAGGCAGGGAGGATAATACAAATATTTAACACCTGGTACAGCACAGGCCTCAACCAGTCATACAAGCTGCTGGCCTACCTGCTGAGGGGCTGCCGCACAAACTGACCGTTGGCCTGCCTGGTGAAACAAGGATTCCTGGTTCTGCCTGGGTCAGATCTTCAGGCTGGGTTGAGAGGTCAGCGGGCAAAGAAGGATTTACTTGGCTTTCTCCAAGGGGGCGCCGAGGCAGGTGCGTCTGATTTTTATTCCTTCTCAGAAACAGAAGTGATGGACTGAAACATTCATTGAACATCTCCAAAGGGAGTTAAAGGCCCAGCAGGGCCACATCGTCACGCATCCACTTTACACTCCAACATGTTATCACTTGTGTCTTCTCCTGACTATGGAAGTTAAGGCCACAAACAGCACACAGTTTCCTTCCAGAGAGTTGTCACTTCTCCGTTGTGGGTAGTGTGAGCAAGACCAAGGTAGCAAAATAGCCAAGGGGTAGGTGTATATGTGACCAAGATACATAGCTCCAAGCCTCTCCTGGCACTGGGAAAGTGACGCAGAATGATGATGTAATCAGAAAAGGTGTTTGGAGTACATGTATGAGGATACTGGTGAGGGTGCTAATTCATTCAATTACTGGGGATGCTGTTAAGTATGGTTAACCCATTCCTGCTACCCAGACCCCAGAGTTGCCTGGTGTCTCTTCATCTCCTTGACCTTCTCAGTTGGTTCTGTTAGCCTTCCAGTAATTTCCTTGTATTGCTTAAAATTTCTATAAGTGGTTACTTTTGCTTGCAACCAAAGAACCATAATTGATTTGGGTCCTACATGCTTATGTTCAGCCATGTTTTGTGAGGGGTGGACCCCGTGAAAGAAAGTGTGTGGCAGCAACTCCTGAAAATAAGAAAAGCCAGTCCCTGGATCTTCATACACAAAAGGAAACACAGGAGGTTGCTGTGAGTTTGAAGGACTTGGTGTATGTAACTTGAATGACAGCTTCACCTCAGTTGGCTCTCAGTTTCCTATGCAGCTAGAATTCCATCCCTATTTCCTCCATTGTCCCATGGGTTGGCTGGTCTACGAGTCAGGAACTTCTCCTAAGCAAAGCACAGGTGGTTTGGGCAGATACTGGGGAAAGGACAAAGGCTCGGGTCAGGCTTACTTAACTTGTTAGCAATTCTGGTAGGCAGGGAGTAGGTGGACATTGGAATCATGGGCTAAAATGAAGCCTGGCTGGAATGGAATACGTAGGGGCCACTTGTCATGATATTCACATTTACTACAAAGTAATTATATATGTCCGTTTCCTGGGAAGCATATTGTGAACTGGATGGATTTCTTTTATTTTTCTTTCCTTTTTTCAATTCTTATTTTCATTCAGAAAATTGGGAAATGAATTTTCTTTCATGATTTTAATCATTTATTTGCCAATGTTGAATACAGCACATTCACATAAAACTCTCAAAGGCGGCCATCTGAGCACTCTGCCAGCCTGGCCCACCCACAGAGCTTTGCCTAGAAGCTTTGTCTTTTATAGAACTTAGCTCGGGCAATGATATCATTGACGAAGTCATTGTCTATGTCCGCTGGGGTGGCAATAGCTTCAATTCCTGACTTAAAAGCTGAGAGACCACCTGAAATGAAACACAGAGTGAGGCTCAAATATTAACTCTCAGTAGAAATAAGCAATGAGCATGGCCAAGATGTTAGCTCTCCAGGCAAATCTTCCAAAGCAGGCAGTCCCAAATCTTCCTCCCTCTCTCTCCCTTTCTGAAAGGACAAGCTACCCCAAGAATCACTGGGAAAATTCCAGATTGCTTTCTTTCTCTTTTTCCAAAGTCTTTGGTTTTTCTTGTTGCAAAAATCAGATTTGCTTTTTTATGTAATCCAGGCTTGGCAGAACTAGACCCCCAGTACATCCTCTGCTGAAAATGCTTGTAACATTCTCTCACTTACACAATAATTCACTCATCTATTCACTCATTTATTCATTCAGGAAATGTTTTCAAGCACCTACTATGTGCCAGGAGAGATCCCACACTAACTGCAAGGTACCCAAGACACATTTATTTCTTTGGGTACGTGTACATATGCGTGTGTATGCTATTTTACCCTAGAATTTTATCTTTAGTTGTTGTGTATGTGTTTAACATAATTGCACTCTGCTCTGATATCCAGAGAAAAAGATGCATGCTCCTGATCCCTGCCTTCAAGGACCTTGAAGTCGAGACTAGAATCTGTTCTGATTAAGGCCATTAGAGTGTGGAGAACATAACATGGGCCGATAGGGGGTAAACCTAACAGGAATTGATGTGGTTGGGTGTGAAGAGAGAAGGAACCAGAGAGCCTAAGAAAGCAATCTGGTTTTCAGGCTGGGATGACTGGCTGTGTTATGGTGCCTCCAAGACACGTAAAATGCAGAAGAAAGAGCAAATTTATCGTTGGAGGTTAGTGAGTTAATTCCATCTGGGAGATGCTGAACTTGAGGGGGTCTGTGATCAGCCAAGCAGCGATTTCCACTTGGATACGTAGCACCTGAAGTCCTGAGAATACTCACAGAGTAAAATTGTTCAGACAATTTGGAAAGTTGTTGACAGTTTCTTATAACAGGAAAAAACCTATGAGAGGTAGGCAAACATATATATATATGTTTGGTTTATTTTGTTTTTTTTTTTGTTTTTTTTTTTTTTTGAGAGATGGGGTCTCACTCTGTCTCTCAGGCTGGCGTGCAGTGATCAATGCTTACTGCAGCCTCAACCTCCCAGGCACAAGCAATCCTCCTGGCTCAGCCTCCTGAGTAGCTGGGACTGGAGTGTGTCACCATACGCAGCTACTTTTTTTTTTTTTTTTTTTTTGGTAGAAACAGGTGTCACTATGTTTCAAGGTATCACTCAATAGCTCAATAAGCAATGAATAAGAACCCCAGTGTTCTGCAGAGGGGAAATGGAGGTTGAGGATGGAGGACCACTCAAAGTAACTCTGTGGTTCAGAGAATGCGAATGCAGCCTCTAGACAGCTCCTCCCAGGGCCACTGCTGACCCCATGGAAATGCTCCCAAAGAGTCTCGGGTCACACTGGCCTTGAGTGGTCTTATTCATTGCTCATTTAAACAAAGTGCTCAGAATACAGCCTACCTCTGAGGTGCTGAGCAGCACTCCACGTGGGGAATTTTTTCTGGATTGCCTTAATTCTCTCTGTTAGAATCCCAGTAGCCTGTGAAAGATGCTCTTTGCTGTCCCAGGCACCAACAGGGTGGTACGCTTGTTTATCAAGCTAGAAAATTCAGATAATAAAGTCAGCATCTGGATGAGGTAACACATTTTTCTGCCATTCCTAATTTCCTCTCCTGGTATTCAAGTCATAGATACCGGCCTTTATCCCCAAAGAGTCAATTCTATTGTTCTTTCTTTCATAGAGATGAGAGTCAGAGAAACAAAGTAAGGTTGGGGAGAAATGGACATGGCATAGTTTTAGCTAAACATTCTAATATAAAAAAAAAAAGTTGTTTTGAAACAAATAACACCTAAAGTCTATACATTTATAGTAAGAAATAATTAGCTAATTCAGATAAAAATTTGTTTCTAACTGGGAAGGCCAGAAGTCTGTATTTCTGCAGACAATTAAAAATCGAGCCTGGAAGCAAATATCCAGATAATTTGGATCCCATTCCTCCAGTTCACCCAAAGGAACAAGTTGTTTCAAGTAGGGCTCAATTATACCATGTTTTGATCCACATGGATGAAATGTACTACCTCACAAACCCCAAGAGGACACCTGTAATAACAGTGCTGCTTATAAGATTTTATCAGTTTTGGTGTATTACATATTATTTATCACAAATAGGTAGTTATAAAACTCCTAAAATACTTTTTACAGGATATCTAATAATGAATAAGCCTTGAATGACATAAAAAGATGTGTTGCAGAAATCCCAGATCAAATTATGCTGGAGTGGCCAGGCGCAGTGGCGCATGCTTGTAATCCCAGCACTTTGGGAGACTGAGGCGGGTGGATCACCTGAGGTCAGGAGTTCAAGACCAGCCTGGCCAACAAGGTGAAATCCCGTCTCTACTAAAAATACAAAAAATTAGCTAGGCATGGTGGCGTGTGCCTGTAATCCCAGCTACTCAGGAGGCTGAGGCAGGAGAATCACTTGAACCTGGGAGTGGAGATTGCAGTGAGCCGAGATCACGCCACTGCACTCCAGCCTGGGCAACAAGAGTGAAACTCCATCCCCCCCCAAAAAAAGAAAAGAAACAAATTATGCTGAAGTACCTGTAGCCAGATGCCAGGGTATTCTGGGGTTTGGAAGCACTGCAAATGGATTTCTAGTTGAGGTTGAGCTTCTGTGAGGAGGGATGAAGTGGGGCTGATAGAAAGTTGCTAGCTAAATACCTGCATCAAGCCAAATTTAAGCCCCCTGTGGTCCCAGCCATCTTGCAGGACAGATCCGCCATGACTTTCCCTGGAGATGATGGCTGCAATGACAGCAGGGTCCACGCAGTGTCTCTGCCCGACTTCTTTGATCAGAGTCTGGTAAGGTTTTATGGCCCTCAGATCCATCTCAGCAAACATTTCAGAACCACGGATCCCTATGTCAATAGAAAAGAAACTGTTTTTCTGGGCATGCTAGTGTGTGCCTGAAGTCAGTCCCTGCTACTCAGGAGGCTAAAACAGGAGGATCACTTGAACCCAGGAGGAGTTCGAAACCAGCCTGGGCATCATAACGAGAGCCCAACTCAAAAAAAAAAAAAAGAAAGAAAGAATTTAAAGTTAAAAAAAGAAAAGAAACTGTTTCTTCTACTTCAGAAGAAAACCATTTTTTAAAATTTGCTAAGTTAGCCACAGCCTCTGATCACTGCTAATGGCTTGGGACAGCCATTCTAAGATATTCTTTTGATCTCTAACTGCAGAAACAGACAGGTCCACAACCCCCAACAGGTGCCACTTCTGCTGTTTTTTCTCCTTCAAATTGCTCATGCCTGTAATCCCAGGACTTTGGGAGGCCAAGGTGGATGGATCACTTGAGGTCAGGAGTTCAAGACCAGCCCGGCCAACAGGGTGAAACCCTGTCTCTACTAAAAATACAAAAATGAGCCGGACGTGGTGGCAGGCACCTGTAACCCCAGCTACTCAGGAGGCTGAGGCAGGGGAATCGCTTGAACCTGGGAAGTGGAGGTTGTAGTGAGCTGAGATCATGCCATCGCACTCCAGCCTGGGTGACAAAGTAAGACTCTGTCACACACACAAAAAATGCTGCCACACTGGTGCACTGGGAAGCCTCTTGGACTAGGAGTCAGCCAATGTATGTTTTAGCCTGGCTCTGCCAATAGCTGGTTCTGTGCTATTGGGAAGTACCCCCCTCCTTGCTGAGTCTCTGGGCTCTGATTTGTAAATTGAGGGGTTGGGGTCCGATGTGACCTTGTGGTTGCTGCCAGCTCCGACACCCTAAAACCAGGATAACATGATGAAGACGACTTTGGAACAGTATTGCTTCAAATGCTCATGTGTAACATGAAGCAAACACAGCAGCGCCACCCAAAAATCAAAGCCAAATTCTAATATTTATTCAAGCAGTAGTTTCAACACATGGAAACAAACACAGCTGGACAAGGTTTGGAAAGAATGAGGGTGGAAAATGAAAAGAAGCGGGTTATTAGATTGGTCAGGATTGTGTTTTTTGCTCATTTTTCATTTTGGTACTATTATCATAATGATGATTATACCTTTTCAAAATTAAGTGACTTCCTAAGAAAGAATCTGAAAACGATGAAAGGGGAAAAGCCAGATGTTTGCTCTGCCTTTCACTTACCGCAGTTCATCACACTGTTTGCATCACAAGTGGCCCCAGAGGTCTTCATGGTCGTGATGTCCCCGTAGCAGCCGTGGTACAGGCGCGGATGTAGGTGAGGGTTCATTGAGTGGGTGAAGGGGTACGAGCCCCTGGAAGTGCCTAGAGGCGGAAGCATAACTCACATGAATCCTGTGAGAAGATATTGCTTGGGTTGCTGCAATAAACATCACGAAACCAAAGGCGGAAGGCCACAGACAGAACTCCCCAACTCTCTTGTTGCCATTATCTGTTCATCAGACAGAAGATCCCCGTGCCCACTCTGCTGCTACCTTTTTTTTTGTTTTGTATTAACACAGCACTGAATCCAAAAACACTATGCAAAATATTATGAAATTCATCTCTTATAGATCCTAAATACCTATGCAGTCTTTTTTTTCCTTTGTTTTTTAGAGACAAGGTCCTGCTCTGTTGTCCAGGCTGGAGTGCAGTGACATGATCATAGCTCGCTGCAGGTACCAACACCTGGGCCCAAACGACTCTCCCACCCCAGCCTCCTGAGTAGCCGGAACCACAGGCGCACATCACCAGGCCTGGCTTATTTTATCTTTTTGTAAAGATGGGGTTTTGCTATGTTGCCCACGCTAGTTTCAAGCTCCCGGGCTCAAACCATCCTCTCTCCTTGGCCTCCCAAAGGATTTCAGGCACTGTAGTCATACCATACTGTATGTCAGAATTAAAACTGACAGAGGGTTTTTAAGCAGGAAACTTGAGAGGTTTTGTTTTGTTTTTTAAGATTCAGCAGGTACACGTGCAGGTTTGTTACATGGGCGTATGGTGAGATGCTGAGGATTGGCCTTCTATTGATCCTTCACCCAAATAGTGAACACAGTACCTGATGTGTGGTTTTCAACCCTTGCCTCCCTCCCTCCCTGCCTCCTTTTAGAGTCCCCAGTGTCTATTGTCTTGAGAGGAATTTTAAAACGTTTCTGACACAAATGCTTCTGGGAACGTTATTGGATTAACAATTTGCCTTTGTTTAGAAAGATAAGAAAGAAGGGTACCATAACAATTTAAATATATTCTTATTTTATATCGTTTACTGTGAAGGTGAGTACCTGTGTATGTCTGTCTAATAAAATTAGAAGTAAAAATTGAATTTACCAGAATGATTTCAGTCAAATCTATTCTTGTTTTTTTTGTTCTGTCATTAAAAAGTGAGTTTCTGTCCAAGTCTACCTGTTAAAGGAGAGGCAGAGCTTTTACTAAAGGAGATACAAGGTTATTTTCTGTAATGCTGAAAAGTTTGTTCTAACTGTTTCAAGGACTGTTAATTTGTACCCTAAGAGTCCAAATATTTGTTATAAGATGGTACTTTGGGCTGGATGTGGTGGCTCATGCCTAGAATCCCAGCACTTTGAGAGGCTAAGGCAGGAGGATTGCTTGAGCCTGTGAGTTCAAGACCAGCCTATGCAACATGGCAAAACTCGTTTCTACAAAAAATACAAAATTTAGCCTGGTGTAATGGCACATGCCAGTAGTCCCAGCTGCGTGGGAGACTGAGACAGGAAGATTGATTGAACCCGGGAGGTCGAGGCTGCAGTGAGCTTTGATGGTGCCACTGCATTCCAGCCTGGGCAACAGAACAAGACCCTGTCTCAAATCTCAAAAAAAAAAAAAAAAAGTATTCATTAAAATGTTTGATGTAAAAAAAATAGAATCTGGCTGGGCATGGTGGCTCACACCTATAATCCTAGCACTTTGGGAGGCCGAGGCAGGAGGATCACCTGAGGTTGAGAGTTCAAGACCAGTCTGACCAACATGGAGAAACCTCATCTCTACTAAAAATACAAAATGAGCCAGGCGTGGTGGTGCATGCCTATAATCCCAGCTACTCGGGAGGCTGAGGCAGGGGAATCACTTGAACCCAGGAGGAGGAGGATGCAGTGAGCCGAGATCACGCCATTGCACTCCAGCCTGGACAAAAAGAGCGAAACTCTGTCTCAAAAAAAAAAAAAAAAGAATCTAACCACTCTTCCCACCTCTGCTACTGCCATGGTCCCAACCAGCGTCGTTGCTCATCTGGACTCTCCTAACAGCCTCCTAACTGACCTCCCTGATTCACTCTTGCAGCCGATCGTCTACCTAGCAAACAGAGTGGCCCTGTGGGAATATGCACGGGCTGCTATCAGTCTCCTCTCTTCACCTTCCAGTGGCTTTCTCCTCCTTTAGGGGAATAGCCAAGTTCATCCTGCAGCCTCCAAGGCCTACTAGATCTAGCTGCTCCTGTTCCTACTTCTCCTTCCCTTTGCTCACTCTCCTCCAGCCACATTCTTCCTTGTGCTTATCCTTCAACATGCCAGGCAGGTTTCTGCCTCAAAGCCTTTATGTTTGTGGTTCCTTTTGTCTAGAATGCTATTCCTCCAGGTATCAACATGATCATGTCTTCAGGTCTCTGTCCAAATATCACCTTATCAGCAGAATATATAGACAGTTTATAGACAAAAAAAGAAAATGGTCCTTAAACATATAAAAGATGTTAAACCACACTTAAGAGAAAGGCCACATTAAAACATCATTATGACAGCATTTTCTAACCCTTAGTTGTCAAGAGCCCAAAGGTTTGATAATATGCTCTGTGGGAGAGGCTGTGAGGAAATAGGCTGTCTCACACATTGCTGTGGAACACAGTTTTGCAATAGGCTGTTCATCCCAGCAGTTATAACAGCAAAGGACTGCAAACAACGCAAACGTCATTAATGTAGGGACTGGTTGAGTAAGTGATGCTACGTCCACAGTGGAGTACTGTGCAACTGCAAAAGGAAAGAGTAAGACCTGTATATACTCCTGTAAAATTCTCTCCAGGGACAAAATAGTATTTATAGAATTGTACTCTTTGTGTAAGAAAGGGGAGAAAATACAATTGTATATTTTGTGTGATTGGCTCATATTTTCAAAAGAAACAATACAAGGATGAATGAAAAACTGGTAAAAATTGTTAGTTATGGAGAGGGTAAGAGGAAGGTAAAGGGAACAGGGATAGAGGATAGACTAACTGTATCTTTTAAAAAGTTTTCATTTTGGAACCATGTAAATGTTATCATAAATTTTAAAATTAAATCAAATAGGGAGAAAAGGAATCCATAAAAAAGAAAAACAAATGAACATAACTCTATAACAAATTGAAAGATTAATAAACACATAGAGGAGAATTATCTCAAGTGACTTTAAAATATATCCATATAAGTGTATACCACTACATAGGAATACATCCAATGAACATAAATAATCACAAGAAAATCTTAAATTATATTTACTGTCTCATTATTGGTTGGTAATACTGTCATAGTTATTTTGACACTATTGTATGTAAATAAGTAATAATGCTAATGTCATTAGAACTAGGATTTTTAGTGTAAGATTGCAGAGGTACAAATATAAAACTGATGTAAAATGCTTGCATTCTGAAATATAAATGTGAAATATCTGAATGCATAATTGTTTTTCTTTTAAAAATATATTTTTTCTAGTTCCCGCCTCTGAAAACACCTGAAATAAATGACAACTCCATAGCAATGGAGCACTTTTACTTCCCACATTGTGGTCTCTAAATACCATTTCCTGCTAAGAGGAACTAGCACTCCTCAGAATAATGGCTGATTGCTAGCCTGGGGCAGAAAATGTTCAAGATGAACCAGGAACATCTTTTTGTGCTAGAGCTGGTCCTTATATGTTAGAGACACATCAAAAATTTTTACAGGTGAAATGTTTTTATCTCCCTTCTTTCCTCTCACTGTTTCCCTCTCTCTTCCTTTTTTCCTCTCACTCTCTTTCTGTTCGTTCCTCTCACTAGAAGATAAATTTCATTAGGTCAGATACTAGATGTTTTTCTCTGCTATATCCTCCTCAGCACCTGGAACAATGCTTGGCACAAAGTAGACGTTTAATAAATACTTGCTGAATGGAAGAATGTATAGTTGGATGGATGAAGGAATGAGACAGAAAGGGATTGTTTAAATTATCTGGATCAAGTGTCCCTATATTGACAGGTTCAATGTCCTTTCACTGGGAGGCAGTCTTTGCCAGGCTCACTGTGTGGCCCACAGACCACAGGCATCAAAGTTACCACACATGCTTATTAAAAATCCTTATCACTGGCTGGACGCAGTGGCTCCCTCCTGTAATCCCAGCACTTTGGGAAGCTGAGGCGGGCAGATCACGAGGTCAGGAGATCAAGACCATCCTGGCTAACCCAGTGAAACCCCATCTCTACTAAAATACAAAAAAATTAGCTGGGCATGGTGGCGGGCGACCTGTAGTCCCAGCTGCTCAGGAGGCTGAGGCAGGAGAATGGCGTGAACCCGGGAGGCGGAGCTTGCAGTGAGCCAAGATTGCACCACTGCACTCCAGCCTGGGTGACAGAGCAAGACTCCGTCTCAAAAAAAAAAAAAAAATGCTTATCACTGGGCTCTTCACACCAGATCTACTGAACCAGAATCTTGCAGTATAAGGCTAAAGAAGCTGCACTTTGCCCAGCATTCCCAGTTGACTCTTACACAGAAAGTTTATGAACCACTGCTTTAAGAGAACTGGAATATGACCATGGACCCTACACTGCTTGTGTAGGCATTACAAACACACAAGCCCTTTTTAAATTAAGAGTCACCTTTCAGCTATACACAGCTAATATGGTAGCTCATAATTAATCTGCTGGCTATTTAACTCTGCTCTCACCTGGCAATTTAAAAAGGAGTAAAAATTTAAAACTAGGTTGCCCTGCTTTTGACCATAAGTGACTGGAAATTACTTTTGGGTAGCCTTGTCTTTCCAAATTTAGAATCAAACATTTTAGAAACACTTTCTTTTCAGTCACCATTCTCTAATTAAAGACAACTTGAACATTGCTCATAATGGCTTTTCATTTTGCTTAGGTCACAGTTTTAACATTGTCTTATTCAAGATCTCTTACCAACTCACCAACCTATCTTTCCAGCCTTCCCCCGAGAAATCCCCTCTTCTGTCCAGGCCACACCGATCCAAAGACTTTTCATTCATTTTTGCCTCTCCTCTTTTACTGAAATCATTCTTCCCATCCAGCAGGCTCTTCCCTTTTCTTATTAAATCACCAAGCATTCTTCAATTGACACGTCTCCCACAAAAGCCTTTCACATCTGAGCATTCTAGTTGGATGTGAGCTCTTCCTCCCAAACCTTTCTCAGACTAGTGCTTTTTTCCCACCAACACACATTGAACTCTCATCCACTGCTTGGCATTGATAATTTTCCCTTCATGTGTTTTGCCTCCAAGGCACTGTTCCATATACCTCTCAGTAAGATATCCAGTCTGATAGGTGCATTGTCAGACAGGAAGTAAGCAGATCAATAAATATTAGATTATTTGAAATTCCCATAGATCCTGTTTTTCACCTGCTTAGCAAGCAGAACACACTGTTAATTATAGAAATAATAGTTGATTAATGGCCAAGCTGGTCAGAATGAGAGCTCACTCTTCCATTGCGGGTAATCATTGCTCTTTCTGATTCATTATTGTGCTGGAGGTTTCTGTGGACTCCCCATGAACAATGCTAAATCTCAGCCAGTGACTTACCAATGAGGGCAATTAGTCCCCAAAACACCACAGAGGATAACATGGCGGGGAATCTGATCTTCCAGGACCTGCTCTGATTTGAAATAGAAACTGGTTAATTTTAAAACTTGAAAATTTCCTAAAGAAAAATTTGTGTTGTTATTTTAAAAAGTTCAGAGTTGTTTCCAATCCACTATTCATTTCCCAGTTTCAAGATAGTATTCTCACAGGCTCATACATGGTTTGTTAGCACACTCTCTTTCCTAAGCATAAACTCCCAACTCACTTCAATCCAGTTTCATGTTGACATGGGCCATGCATATCTTACGTATGTAACCAGATATACACTCCCATCCCATCTCTAAGCTTGGTAACCCCACAATTTTGTTCCCTTTCTTTAAAAAAAAAAAAAAAAACTGATCCTTCTTTCTAGTTATTCACCCTACCCCTGCCTTCAAGAATCAGTTTTGGTTTTTCATTTGTTTGTTTAGAAATGGGATCTTGCTCTGTCACCCAGGCTGGAGGTCAGTGGCATAATCATAGCTCACTATGGCCTCAAACTCCTGGGCTCAGGCGATCCTCCCACCTCAGCCTCCCGAGTAGCTGGGGCCACATATGCGTGCCACCATGCCTGGGTGTTTCCATTCTTACACTAGGGTCTCTGTAGGGAAAACAAAATGAAACAAAATACCAACAGGAGCCTCAAAGAACATGACTTAGAAGAGGTTTCCTCTGCTCCATTTCTTCCTCCATCAACTCTATTCTTGGTTTCATTCAAATGGTAGCTTATAAGTTTTACGAGATATAAGAAGGCCAGCACTAACCTTGTTTGCAACCTTACAGAGAAAATGTCCCCTCTCTGTTTGCAAATGTCTTCTGTACTCAGCAGCAAACTGCACTTCAAGCTTTTCCAAAGCGGTGGCCTTTGTCCTGTAACATAGATTTAACAATTGGAGAATCCATTAGTCAGTAGATCACTGCGCACCCGGCTTCAACTGAGTAGACGTCAGTGTGGTCTACTGCTGCGGAGGAAATTTTAAACACCAGCATGAAGACTCACCTGGCTTTTCTTACCTTCGTCCTGTACCAACGATCATTAGAGGAGCTTTATATATGGTTTAAAACCCTCTCTTTAAACCATTGACCTCATTAGGCCTGGTTATAATAGTACTTAGGACTTAGGTGACCCCATTAATAAGAGGATTTCAAAGAGTTGATTAACCACTATTAATTAATTAATCTAATGAACCCCCAGGTTGCTCAGGAGGCATATTTTGATAGATTGTTTCTAGATAGCTAAAATTGTGCCAAACAGCTTCTAAATTTGCAAATAAGAAACAGATAATTCACTTTAAATAAGAAAACAGGAAATACTAGCAATTTTTATTCTGGGATTGGTTATTTACCTGAAATGCTGAGTCTCCTGCTCTTTGTTCCCCATTCCAATGTCACATGATCCCCATACCAATATGTCACATCATCTCAAGCCACTATGTCACATGATCATGATAGGTGAACTTGGCTCCTTACTCCGATCCCACTTCTGACAAGCAGGTGCAAGTGTGGTCACCCGCTCTGGGAGATCAGTGCAAAACCAGGGAGTAGCAACGTGGTTACTCATTTGTCCATCCTTGCTAAGGATATGGGAAAAAAAGATACAGCCAGGGATGAAAACTTCTTCAAGAAGAGAGTATCTTTCTTCAGGCTTATGTCCAAGGGAAGACAGGAAGCTCATTGTGCAGCCCCAGGAACAGGAAATGGAAGGGACGTTCTTGAAACAGGCAAAGCACATTGCGCGGAGGGGAGGAAGAAGTCTGGTCTGGGTCCTTCCACAAGTGTAACCAGTTTCTCAGACTGCACACAGTCCTCCCCCACATCCAGCGAGTGAAGAAAGGTGCAAGGCCGCTGTACGGGAAACAGGAAGACAAAGCCACAGGCAACTTCCCAGCTCCCTGGCAATAAAACAACCTCCGCTCCCAGGAGAACATGCCCTTCCAAGCTGAGGTCTGCACAGTCCATTGGCATTCACTTCTGCCCTGCCTGCCTTGCTGCTTGTAGAACAGACATCCCTGGCACGACCTCTAGCCTTCCATCCCTGGAAGAGTGGCAGGGTTGTTCCGAGCCAACGGATGCTTCCTGCCTGACTCTCAGGAAAGTGACCCATGGAGGGTCTACTCCACCCCCGGCAACGCTGCGGTCAGGACCACTCCTGAATAAGGGATTTTGCAGGAGTCTAACTGCCCAGAGGCAAGCCTTAGAAACCCGTAGTCTATCAGCAGCCACATGGTGCCCATGACCCACTTCACTGCAGGGTGAGTAGAGCCACTTGCCTGAGGCTTCCAGGCTAAGTGCAATGAGAAAGTTCAAGAAAGGGAGATTAAGAAGAAGTTAAGAAAGAATGATAAGTTAGGTAAAAGAGAGTAGGTGGAGGCAGGGGCTGTCCCTGCGTGCACTGGAAGAAGTAAGTGTTAATAAAACATTTAAAGCACTGCCGAATGTGAAGAATACTTATCTTTCGGCTCTCAGTTAGTGGGGCTACGAGTCCTTCTAGGTATGAGGGTCTTAACATCCAGGCTTCCGCAACTCAACCAGTTGTTTTCAAACTGATGTGGATTGTTCTGTTCAAACTGTGAGAGAACAACTGAACACCCAACGTTTGTCAGGTTCCTATGGATATTATATGACTCAATCCTCCACTGGCCCTGCGAGGCAGGCATTATCCCTCATTTTAGAGACGAGGAAACTGTGACTCAGAGAAGCTAAGTAACTTGTCAAAGATGGCACAGTTAGCACGTGACAGAGCCAGGATTTGAACCTAGGACTGTACAATTCCAAAATCTGCGCTCTTCCACTATATCAGAAGTGCCAGCACAGTGGATAAATGACCCTGCAGAGCAATCATTGCAACAGGTCCAAGTCCATCTGGATACAAAGCATTGTCTGTGGTCTGGATAAATGACACCACTCACAGATTTTATGCCACTATCTGTCAAGTGTTTGTAGGTGCTGTTGTCATTTCTAAAATACAAAGTAATGGCTTAACTAAGTCTAAAGTGGCTTTGTGTCACTTTATATTTTATCCACCAGTAATAATAATGTAGTTAATATGCACTGACGTTGTATGGTATGACTGGTAGAATAGCAGGAAGGGGAATGACCTAAGTTTGTTATACTCTAAAGCCTAATTCTTAACTGCAGTGCCCTACTGACCCAGTGGATGGTTAAGTGTGGGTACTATTGTATAACGATCTTGGAAATTTCTTGTCACTAAGAAGAAATATACGGAATAAATCTCCATCTCTTCCCAGGGATACCAAGAACGGCTACATGTGAGTTGTACTGATACTTCCAGGAGGGGCTTGAGGGTACCGTGGCACCTGTCATAATCTTCATCAGTCCCCAGAATAAAAACACAATCTATATGCAAGCAATGTCTGTGCTACACAAATAAAACTCTGTGGCCTGGTCTCCTCTCCCCACAAATCAGTTGCCTGCTCCTAAGACTCTCCAGTGCAGCAGTTCTCTAGCAGCTTCCAGGGAATCCTAACAGATCTAGGGTTCCTGGCCTCAGTGGTGGAGACTCCAGTCATCCCTAATGATTAAATAGCCTCAGCAATTGGAAAACTTCAATGGAAAAGCTTAAGTAGTACTGCTGTAGTTAGGAAGAGAGGAATGATTATGAAAACTGAGGTACTGGGTATACCCAAGGAAGCAGATTCTGGTGCGAGCTCCTGGCAAGGCTTCTCAATTCATACCAGACAAGACCTGCCCTTGTGCCCCGAGCTACCCTAGGTTAGCACTTTTGGGAGTTAAAGGAATCCAGCATCTCAGGCTCCCTTGGTCCCCTCGCCCTCTGTGTCCCCACCTGCCTCCCTCCCAACACTAGTCTGTGCTAATACAGACTGGGTTGTCTCCGCCATGTCATTATTTGTGAATCCCAGGCATAGTTCTCCCTTCTCAGGAACAACAGCCAAGGAGGATGACGACCATGGCAACTCATTTAACCTCCCTGAGCCTTAATTTTCCTCAACTGTAAAATGGAGATGATAATAATGCCCCATGACTTTGTTTTGAAGATAAAAATAAATTTTATATGTAAAAACATGTTACAAACTACAGTGCTTCGTAGAGATGCCAGTTACTATCATAATGGGTTTGCACTCAGGTCCTGATGGCTTAGCTTCTTGTTGATTTATTCATTTGTTTGTTTATCCATGCACTCAGGAAAAATAATTAACAACTGACTTATAGGACAGGAAGTAGGAGGTGAAGTCTCTCTTCAGCCGTGAAGAAAACTTGGCAGGACAAGCAAGAGCTATTCATTGCCAGGACTCTGTAGCCTGCCTGGTAGAAGTGGAGGAAGGATAAGTTCAGAAACAGCCATACAAGCAGCTACAGCCCGAGCATCTGTTGCACAGCTTTGAAACTTATAAAATGAGGGAGCTGCCAAAAGAATAATGTGGCAAAGGCACTTTGGCACCAACAGCTGGTGAGAAGGCAGAAGGGGAGCCCTTCCATAAAATTTCACCAAAACGTTCAACTTAACCCCGGGATATTTCAATGTCAGGCTTGAGGTGCTGAGTGCTTTTCTTGTCTTGGTTTTAATCTACTACATGATAGGTAAAACGCATACCCTGTTGAAGAAGCCACTTATATGGTTGCATCACCGGTCTTCCAATGTCAAATATTTGACCAACATTTCAGAAAAGATACACAAATGGCCAATAAAGATCATGAAAAATTGGTAAATATCTTTAGACATCAGGGAAATGCAAAATAAAACCAAAATGAGACAGTATTTCACACTCTCTAAAAAGGTTAAAACCAAAGACTAGCTATACCACACATTGGTGAGAATATGAAATAAAACAGAGCTCTCATACATTGCTGGTTGGAGTATAAAGTGGGATGATTGCTTTGGAGAACTGCTTAGCAGTTTCTAATAAAGTAAACACACTGTATGCCTCAGAAATTTTATTTCTAGTCATTTACCCAAGAGGAATGAAAAAAAAAATGTCTCCCAAAAGACGTGTATGAGAAGCTTCACAGATTGTAAGTTCTGCAAAGAAAAAAGAGGAAAAAAAAAGAATTTTTATAGTGCTTCATTCATAATAGCTCAAAACTGGAAACACTCCAAAAAATTCATGAATGGAAGAATGGACTAACAGTTGTAGTATAATGATCTAATGGGAAAATACACAAGTTAAAAAAAACAAACAAATCCAGGAAAAAATTCCAATGAACCTGGGCTGGGTCAGGTGCCCACCTCTGGATCATTCAACCATGTCTAGGAATATATTTGTTTGAAAAAGGGATTCCCTGTGGTTTGGAAAGGAGAAGGGAGAAGTCTGAAACAAAATTTTAAAATAGTATTTTTATTTTGAAATAGTTTAAATTTCACAGGAAACTTCAAAAATAGTACCAAGAGTTCTCATGTACCCTTCACCCAGCTTCCCCCAGTGGCAATATCTTACATAACTAGAGTACATGTCAAACCCAGAACATTACCATTAGTATTATACAATACTATAAACTTAGGTACAGACCTTATTTGGATTTCCCCAGTTTATTTTTACACTCTCTTTTAAAGAATATTTATATTTCAGAAGTGGATAGTACTGTGAACGTTTATCCCACATGTAGATGCAAGTAACCATCACCATAATCAGGATACAGAACTGTCCCATCACCATAAAAAGACTGCCTCAGATAGCCCCTAACTGTGTCTTTCATTGTGCCAAAAGTAAGCGTTTTCTCTTTCTTTCTTTTTTTTTTTTTTGATGGAGTCTCGCTGTTGTCAGCCTGGGCTGGAGTGCAGTGGCATGATCTTGGCTTACTGCAACCTCCACCTCCCAGGTTCCAGCAATTCTACTGCCTCAGCCTCCCAAGTAGCTGAGATTACAGGCACCTGCCACCACGCCCGGCTAATTTTTGTATTTTTTAGTAGAGACGGGGTTTCACCATGTTGGCCAGGCTGGTCTCAAACTCCCGACCTCAGGTGATCCACCTGCCTGGCCTGCCAAAGTGCTGAGACTACAGGCATGAGCCACCGCAACCGGCCAAGTAAGCTATTTTTTAAAAACAGCTTGATTGAGATATAATTCACATATCATAGACCTCACTCATTTAGAGTGTGCAATTCAGTGGTTTTTAGTATGTTCACAGAGTTGTGCAATCATCAGCGTAATCAATTTTAGAGCATTTTCATTATCCATGGAAGCATCTCCACAACCATTAGCAGTCATTCCCAGTTTCTCTCCCCTCCCTCTTCTCTCCTGTTCACCCTGTGACCCCAGGCAGTCACTTACCTAGAAGTCTGGATGATTTTGTAAAAAACTGTTCTATGGTTGTTTACTATACCTGTGATGGAGAGAAGAGTTGGAGCGGTATCTGGAGAAGGGCTTGTGTCAAAGACAACCCTTTTGTCACGGTTTACCCTGGGAGTGACTTGAACATAATCAAATGCTGTAGAAAATATTGAGGATACAACACACTATAG